GATTATAAGAAAATCTAAATAAAGTGAGAAAGAAAGTTTGAAAATAAAGGAATAATATGCAAAGAGTTAAGGAAAGGGAAAATAAAATTTAAAAAGTGAACTTAAAATAAAATTGTGTTTAAAAAATCACCTATTATTTTAAGAAAGTCTTCTAAACAAAGTGATAAAAATTAAAAATTAAATTAAAAGGTATCTAGGTAAATATAAAGGAAAAATATTGGAGTGATGACAATATTATATTTGACAAGGTGAAATTCAGTTCTAAAGGATGAAACAAGGAAAAATGGGGCATTATGTAATGATAAAAAGTTCGATCAATGGAGAAGACATAACAGTCATAACCTTTCATACACTTGATAATAAAAGAGCCAATTGCACAAAATAAAACTCCTAGAACACAAAAGGGTCAAACACGTACACAAAACCACAGAGACAGATCTTATTATATACAGACACACACATACAAACATGTATGTGCATATAAATATATGTACACGCATACATGCACATATTTCAAAATATGATAGATCATTTACATAAATTAGAAAAAGATATAATATTTAAATGATACCATCAGCAAGTTTGGTAATATAAAAATCTTGTAACCTGTAAATGTAAAACTATACATTCTTCTTTTTGCTTAGGAAACATTTACAAAAATTAATCATGTACTTGTCCACAAAGAATATCTTAAAAATTCTAAAATAGAATTAAATAATTGCTTAAATTAAGTTGTTTATGAAATATTTGAGAATCAATAATTAAAAGATGACTCACCAATTCCACAGGAGGTCAGGATTATTAAAAAAAAAAAAAAATGACTCGCCTCAACCCCCTAAAAAAATAACTAACTGGAAGTTAAAGACTTTTCTAAGTATCCTGAGAACAAACAAACAAACTAGAACTTTTACAGACTAAAAAAAAAAAAAAAAAAGAAAACCCAAAAAAGTTCAGGGTAAGAGAGAGAATACTTTATCCAAAATGTATACTTTAAAGATGAAGATGAGCAAGGTATAAGCAGATTCAACAAAAGTTTTTTTGAACAAAATTGGCTTTCAATTCCAGTAGCAAAAAATGCTTTAATTATTGTCTCAGCATAACTGGCTATCCTTCCCTTAGAAAACAAAAGTAGACCTTCTTCATAACATATTAAAATAAATTTCAGGTTAAGTAAATATTTAAATGTAAAAGACAAAAACAATAAAAACATTTAAAGAAACTTTAAAAACTTACTTGTATAATCTTGGAATGGATGAGATACTCTTATGTAGGGCAGGAAACACTACATAATTGAGTCCTGGCCTAAAGGATTTCACAATCTAGTGCCATAATAACATAAATATGTTAGAGTTGGAGATTAATTATGTTATTTTTGAGATACAAATAAGAACTATGAGGGCCCAGAGGACAATTCCTGGTTCACAGAAGGAAAGTTATTGACCTATATTTTAAAGAATAAATAGGAGTCTTAGCAATTTGTAGAAAGGCATAGACTTATTAAAGAGCTTGATGTTTCAATACTAGTGAGAAATTCAATGATTAAAGTATAGATTGAATGACAGTAGAGGTTGAAAAAGGACCAATTTGTGAAAGAGCTTATATGAAAAGCTACGAGGATTTTCTTTTTTAGTTTTTTTGGTTAAAGTATAGTTGACATACAATATTATATTAGTTTCAAGTGTACAACACAGAGATTCTACATTTACGTACCTTATGATATGACCGCTACAATAAATCTAGTACTCATCTGTCAATATACATACTTATTATAATATTATTGATTATATTTCTTATGCATTATATCCCCATGACTTATATATTTTATAACTGGAACTTTGTAACTCTTATTCCCTCTCATATTTTTCTCTCATCCCCTTCCCCTTCTGGCAATCATCAGTTTATTTTCTGTATCTATGGGTCTGTTTCTGTTTCTGCTTTGTTTCGTTTTAACTCAACCTTAAGATAAGACCTTAAACAGAAGAAAGACATAATTGGATTTATTTTTTAAAAGGTAACTTTGTGAGGAATGAATGAACAAAAGAAGGTGGTAAATCATGAGGTTAAGAGAAATAGCCCAAATGGGAAAAGATTAACACAAGATAACATAAGAACATAAAAGTGCTGTAAGAATGGTCAGTTTCAGAGTAGATATAGACTGGATATAGGAACTTATGAAAAAACAGAAGCTGGCAAGAAGCTCAAATTTTCTAGAGTAGGAAACTGGAGGGCTAACAGTGCCTCTGACTAGAATAAGAAATAGAAAGGATGCAATAGGTATTGATGAGAAGGTAATTAGTTCAATCTTAGACAGATTAATGAGAAATGTCTAACTGGATATGTTCAGTATTAGTTGAAATTATGGATCTGAATGTGAGAGCTGAGTTTTAGATTTGGCTATCATCAACCTGTTGGTGGTAACTGAAGCTATGATGATTGTCAAATCAACCAAGGAGAAAATATACTCATAGAGTGAGTAGACATAATTAGATTTATTTTTAAAAGATAACTTTGTGGATAGTGAATGAACGGAAAAATGGTGGTGAAGCAAGAGGTGAAGAGAGGTTAGGTATCTGGCTAAGACTCCTAGTTGCCTGCCTCAACTTCTATTCTCCCTCTCCTCCTTAGCCACAGAATCCTAACTTTAATTAGAATAGCCTTGTATCTAAGCTAACTGTCAGGTATCTCAGCCTCTCCTGCAGCCAGGTATGTCTATATGACTAAGGTGTGGCTCATGAGATATAATCAGAAGTGCTGTACGGAACATCTAGGAAAGTTCCTTAAAAGAGAGAAGGTATTCATTTTCCCTTCTGTCTTTCCTATAGGACATGATGTTTGAACCATGAAGTAAACTTGAGGATGGAAGCCATTTATTAGAATAATGGCTTCCCGAAGACGATATGGAGACATATTCCTGTAGATTTGTCTGTGAACGAGAAATAAGTTTCTGTTTTAAGCCACATGGGTCAAACTTAATCCTAACTGATGAAAATAAATACTAATATTATTGTAATGAGAAACTTTTACATTTAAGGAGTGGCCTAAGAAAGAATTGCCAGTTAGAAAGTGAGAAAAGTGCAACAGATGGGCATAGTATACCAGAAACAAGAGAAAATACAGATCGAAGAGGAAAGATGGGAACAATAGTAGTAGGTGTTTAAAAGAGAGCAAGCAGGAAGAGGCTTGAATGTAGAACATTAAATTTAGAATTACAAAGTTCTTGGTGGCTTTAAGGAGAGCAGTTTCAAGAGAGTGGTAACCCGGTGAAAACAAAATGGAAGTGGGCTTCCACGTGAAGGAGAGTCAGAGAAGCCGAATTAATATTTAATTTCAGGAATAAGGGAAATAGAGCAAAAAGTTAAAGATAAGGTAAAATGGAAAAGAGATCTGTGCTGTCATTTCTCACAACCAAACTGTATTTCATGATTCTACTAATACTGGCTATTGTTTATTAAAATAAAAGAAGTTACCTATGCTTTGCTAATAAACTCAAAGCCTTCAAAATAAGTGAGAAATTAATGACCATTCACATGCAGAGTCACTTTCATTTTGGGACCCGATTCTGTCCCTAATAGTGTGATATTCTGGAATATAAAATTCTTCCTACCCCCGACTCAAGCTCTGTGGAGGCATACGGGCGATTGTCAATGGGATGGGCATAGAGATAACACGGAACTTGGATTTCTGAAATAAATAAAACTTCTTTTGACTTTGAAGAAGTCTTTATTCAAGTATCTGAAGATTTGGAGCTGTATCACTTATTCGTAGCAAGGATTTTTAATTGCACATAAGGAAATGCGAGAATACTGGGGCTTCATATGTGACTCTTGTGCAAGCTCTCGTTCTCGCTTTCCTTCTGCTCCTCCGGCTCTGGTTCATAGCTCTAGCCTCCTTCCTTCCTTTCTTGGTTTCTCCCTCCTTCCCTCTTTCCTTCCCTCCTTTTTTTTTTTGTCTTCCAAGGAGAAAAGGTGCTGTTCATTGGGATAGAAACTATGCAAGCAAAGACAATCGATGTACTGGGATTCCAATGTGCTTGGGATATTTTAATACATTTTTAAGAGTAAATGGCAAGTAGTTCTCACTAATAGAAAATATGAGTTAAAAATTGGGGCAGCGGATGGGGCCACCAAGATCAAAGATGCAACTTAGTTCAAAATAAAATATTGAACAATGTAAGTGTGTTGAAATAACGAATATAGTATAAATCATTTTGCGAGATGCTTTCAAACAAATATCTTTACTTTAATAACAACTAATATATCACAGACTATACTTTATGATTGTTGGGAAAAAATCAAGTGAAATGAATGCCGTGGGGATTATTGATTAATGTATAAATGTCATCTGCTTTGAGACTACTTATAAATATTTAATTTTTTAAATGCATTTTCCAGGTATTTTTGAAGAAATTCGTTAGAATCTGGGGAAAAATTAAGTGTGCATTGCGGTCTTCACTGAAAAACTTAAAGAATAAATTTCTATTTCTATTATGAAAAAAATGTTTCTCCTGCCTTCCTGGATTTACTTATTAACAGAAGAGATAAAAGTAGTTAGCAAATTCCTCTACAAAAGCTAGTCTTGTTCAATTTAGTGCAACTTAAAATATTTGTTTAAAATTATTCAAATGGAATGGATGAAATAACTTTTTTGCTTGACAATGGTCCTTTGACTTTGAATGGTATGGGAGAAGTTCTTAAAACAACACCCTCTAGGGTTGCAGAGAAAAACTTTTATCTGCCTCCTTTTTCCTGATGTACTGAAAATCCCTTGGTGTACCCTTACAGAAATTTAAAAACCCACAGAGCTATTTTAAAGATTAAAAAAACTCACATAACTTTATTTTTTTAAAGCACTAATATGTCTCAGTTACATTTAACTACAGTACAAAGAATAATAAAATAGCACCTGGAAATTTTTTAGGTTGTAAGGAGTTTCAACTCTTCCTTATTTTTTCTCCACTTCACTAAAAGAAAACAGAGTGCTCTCACCTCCACTCTTTCAGCCTACTGGGTCACCAGGGGCCTGATTTTCATGTGAACGGCCCTAAGGGAGTAATCTGCTCCTCTAAAGGGAACCCAGACCACTCCATTCTCCATCTCATGACTGTTGTTCCTTGGGTCATAGAAGCCGCCAGGGTAATAGATGCCATTGAGATTGGCTGCTTGGCAGTTGTTGTACCACCAACCTCCCCCATAGACTTCTGCACAGTTCTCGTCCCACTGGTCAGCATCCCTGTCAAAGGTGCTGAACTGCATGCCAACGTGAGAAGTGTACTCTGACCCTTCCTCCACGGAACCCTCCACCAGAGCATCACCCGCGGTGCCCTCATAGGAGGAGACCTGCAGGGCATAGCCTTCTGCCTCAGAGCCTACCCTGAAGTGATATTCTGCGTAAGTCTGGTTCCCAGCCCAATCCTCTAATTCAATCCGAAGGATAGAGCCCCTCAGGGTTAGTAAGTGGAGATATTCGTTGCCTAGCCAGAATTCTCCTTCTCCCTTGTCATTCAGGCTGCCGAAACCTCTCTTGTAGTCTTGCCACGTCCGGTTAAAATTCAGTGATCCATCCATTCTTTGCTGGATCAAAAGCCATCCTCCCAAACCGGTCTCTTGATCGCAATAAACAGAAAAAATCTTACTGGATCCCGGTAGCTTGATATTGAAAATGCCACTTTGGGCACCTGAAGGATGTGTTTGGAGGACATCATCACAGTCTAAAAAAAAAATTAAGCTGGTTGGAAGAAGTTACTCTCATTTAACTTTATAAAGATAGGTATGGCCCAGATTAAATGAAGGCAGATAGTGGTTTCTTTTCCTTCTTCCTTCCTTCCTTCCTTCCTTCCTTCCTTCCTTCCTTCCTTCTTTCCTGCCTTCCTTCCTCCCTCCCACTCTCCCTCTCTCCCTCCCTCCCTCCCTCCCTTTCTTCCTTCCCTCCCTCCATGGAGAAAGGAAGCACTTACACTGGAATGAAATGTATGCAGGTGAGTGGCATTTATACCCACAAATTGCAAAGGGAATTTTCCTCAAAAGATTTGGAATTTTACTTGCACATACTGATTAATAACAAGTAATCAGCAAAGATGTCTAAGCATCCTTTCGTACTTGTTTTTAATCTGATCTTAATTTCAACAGAGATCCACTCTAAAAATACGATCAAGGAATTGGGTTGACAAAATTCCAACACCGCACACTTTGAATGGCGAAATAATTTGGTTAAACAAACTCAAAATCGAGTTTCAGAGGGATTCATTCATTCGTTTAACATTGTATTTATTGAGTGGCGACCCTCTGTACTGTTAGGCATTTGGGAATACAGAGATGAACACAATACACAAAGTCCCTGCCCCCGGTGGAACTTACAGTCTAGCACGACAGACAAACAAAAAAAAGTGTAATTTTAATAAAGCATGATAGAGAGCTTGGAAAGAAGTGCAAGTTGCTTTGAGAGCACATTGCAGGAATAGTGAACTTAGTCTAGGGGGTCAGGGAAGGCTTCCCCAAAGGAGAAGTGTGGATACCTCTGACAGAGCGAGATTTAACACGGCTTTTCTTGAGGCCACGCGGTCCTATGACTTCAAGATGTGTTTCCCTTTCACCGTCATCTGTCATTTTATAGCTCTTGCTTTCAAACGTGGAGTCTCCTCTGCTGGAAGTTGAGCTACTGGTTATAAGTTGTTTGCTATGAGTTGAAGTTTTACCTCCGGGAGGGAACTCAGGTATACCAAAGAGGCGAGAGCCAGTTTCTCCTAAGTCAAAGAAATCCGCATCTTCAGGGTGCCTAAGACGGAACTCATCTAGGCCACCCTTGCCAGAGAAAGTATGGAACGAGTCTGAGTCAGTTGTAATGTCACAGTCAGAACCATCTTCAGAGTTTACCACTTCTTTTGTCACCACTCTGCGACCATCAGCACCTACAACAGTCTTAGTAATGGTTTTAGAGCATGAATGACGACTGGCGGTCGGGCCACCACCAGAGATGACCTTCTCATTACCAATCAGAAGCTCTTTACCTCCTTCAGAAGTGACCAGTTTACCTGTATGGTACTCTTTCTTTGACCCTATACTTGAACTTTCTGAAGTCTCTTCAAATGTGCCCCAGTCTGGGTTGGAAGGCCTGGCGATTCCATGCCCTGAGTTATCTGGTCTCAAATTTCCAGACGCAGGATTTCCATGGCTCCAAGTGCTAGTACCACTAGATCCGGAGCTCCCAGACTCCCAGTTGCCAGCTCCACCAGGGTTCCAGTTGCCAGCTCCACTAGGGTTCCGATTGCCAGTACTATCAGGTCTAGGTTTCCTGGGTGTTTCAGGCGCAAAGCCTGTTCCGTGAGAGGCAGAGTCTCCGTGGACACTCCCCTCTTCTCTGGACCTCTCCAACACCATTTTCATCTGCTTCATTTCCGTTAGTGCTCTCCACTCTGGAGGGGCTTTCTGAATCTGACTCTTGAACTCTCCAGGAACCAAGTCTAAAGCCGGGCTCATCTTTAACACTGGTAAGTACTGCTTGTCTCTAGGGGGAAGTAAGTCTTTGGCAATGACTTGTTCAAGTTGCTTCTGCTGATCTTTATAATCCTGTAAATCTATCTGACGCACTACAGCCCTACTGCACGATCCTTGGCAAGATCGGATCTTAATATCGATGTCCACCTAGAGAGAGGGGTAGAAAGATAAAGAAAAAGGGTAGATATAAATAAATGAGCAATGTTTATTGAGTCCTTAGTAGTTAATTTGTTTCTTAGAAACTGTTTTCACTTCTTTGACTTGGAGACCTACTGACCGAGACTTTATTTTCCATTTATGTAGTATCTTCAGGGGAAGAGATGTTGGGTATTATAAGGCTAGCCGGGAGAAGCGATAGGAACTATTTGAATTCATCTTAGACTTAGAACAGATCAAGAGTAAGTTGCTATTCCCTTTGAAAGGAAATGCTAATGAAGTGATCTTCAGTGAAACTGAGGTAGAAGACTCGGGCGTGGCGGTGTCAGAGCTTTGAATAAGACCGGCAGGGACTGAATATTTGCTTTTGAAATTTACTATCTATGTGCTCTAGGAAAATTTACTTGATATCTCTGAGCTTTTTTCTTCATCTGTAGAGTGGGGGAAATAAGACTTACGTTGTAGATAGATAATGGATATATAACACTTCACACTACATGTAGCAGGCATTCGATACATGACTATTGCCTTCCTTTTCCCTGCTATTCAAAAATAAGAAAATCTGGTGACAGAGCCACATAGTTCCTTACCTCCAGTCGTTTCATGTCTACCAGCTGAGCCCTGACATTGTTCTGCAGAAGCTGGATGTGCTGTACTTGTTCCGTGACTTTGCGCCTCAGAACTTCAATTCTGCTTCTCAAGTCTTCCGATACTTGGTTATATGTATTATCATTGTCTGAAATGGAAAACATGGGTATTGAAGTAGCTGCTGAGTGATTTGCTTGCAATAGCCAGCAAAAAAAAGGAAATTTACTTATAAATATTCTTCGTTTCATTTAGATGATAGTTTGTTCTCTCAATATTTAATTTGTGAGTTCCACATCTATTAGGCATTTGAATTTTGGACAATATTATATCCTGCAATCGTCCATGGATGTCATTTAAGGTGTCCTACTCACAATTAGTAAACCAAATAAATTCAGAAGAAATATTTTTGGAATTTTAAAGGCACAACTAGGAGATAGACTAATTGGTTTGGTCATATTCCTATTTTTTCCTCATATCCTTAATCATGGGACTTGAAAATGTTCTTAGGTGGTCCTACTGAGGTTTCTTCCTACCTACACATTTGAAATTGTTTCTAAGCTTTCTTCTTTTTAGTTTGACGGGATTGCTCACTTGCCAGTTACTGCAATTTGTCAAGTGTCTCCTGAAGATATAAAAGGAGGGTCAAGCAAAGTTTCAGGAACCAGAGTCTCATTAAATTTGCTGCCCACACTCAGGGCAAAACCAGTGTTTCTTGATCCTAATGAGACTCAGCCCTCATCCTGTAAGCAAGCTATAACACGGCTCTATATTTAAAAACAAAACAAAACAAAACAAAACAAAACAAAACAAAACAAAACTACATAATCAGCCTAGTGGAGTCTGTAGGTTGAACTCCCAGCTCCACCATCTGACAGCTATGTGTCTTTAGACAAGTCCCTTGACCTCTCAGTTTCCTTCTCTGTAAGACAGAAACAAAAATATCTACTCAAAAAAGTCGAGCCCATCTTATTTTCAATACATACTCTTGAAAAAGAAAACACTTAAATTCTAGTCTTCAGTCAAAAATTCTGACTTACATTGTGATCTTAAACAATTAATTCTAAGTTTACTTTTTTTTACATTATAAAAAGAACAAAATTGTAAGCCCCTCCTTAAAAATTTAAGGATATCATAAAGGCATGTGTTTCTATACTAAGCACTTTGGAATAAAATCGCAGTCGTTATAAGGAGACATCGTATTTAGGACTTTTGATGTTGTTTTTCGTGTGCTATAAAGTTAAAGCACTAAATATATAATACTCACGGTTGCCGCTGGCAAAATCTCCTCTCAAAATTTCCATTATGTTCCTGGTTACTGAGGAAGAGTCCTTATTGTTCTTCTGATAATTCAATAGTGCATTTTTGAGCTTATTTATTCTGTTTGTAAAATCCAGATTGACTTCATCAATCAACCCTTGCATCCTGCAGCCAGAAGGGCATTTTTGGCTCTGAAAGTGAAGAGAAAAGATTACATTAAGGATCCCTTAGCCCCAGTACGACTTTGAAGATTTCCATGCAGCCTCCATTGTTCCCCTTCCCAATCTCTTTAATAGCTTAAGAGGACTAGTCCGAGGTCATAGGGAAATTCTGAAAAGAGGGCCCGTTTAACCGTAGATAAGGCCCCATGAAATCTTGAGGCCTTCATACTCAGGTTCCTGCACATACAACTAAAATCTAATCTCTTAATTCCACTAATGGCCCAGAGCCTGGGGGATCATTTACAGTGCTTTCAGGACTGATTTTCTTTCCATTTGCCTTTTTAAATTTGACATATAAGGAGCCATTAGATTATTTCTACTGTAAACTTTCTGTGACTGAACGAGTCAGCCTGTGTGCACTTCTAGCGCATCAAGGAAGGGTTCCCTGTTCCCCATGCCCACTGCTCACCCAGTCTTCATCAGAGCAGAAGGGCCAGTCTGTTTCTTTGCAGGCAGATTGATGTCTTTCCACAAGTCTGGGGCCACGCACACCTCCTCCTTCAGCTATAAATTCACCTTGATCGTTCTCTGCAGTCTTTTAGGATTCGTTCACACGCACAAAAGAGAGCAACAGTAGGCAGATAAAGAAAAGACAATGGCATGCCTGTCAAACCCAGAGAAGAGGAGGGGCTCTCCCCAAAATCAACAGCACCAGTTTTGGGGGCCTCTACAAACTTCAGGTTTTCTATCTTTTCAATGAAAGTCCTAAGCCCCATTTTATGAAGTTGTGAGAATTAAAAGAAATAAGGTGTACACATTTCTTGACGGCGTTTAACATTAAATAAGCATTTTAAAAATGGTAGGCCTTTTATAGGTTCCAGTATAAAAGAAAAATTATTTGAATCAATAAAATTAAGTATAATTTACCTTTTAATTTCCACTGACATCTGGAGGTGGAAAGATTATTGGAAAAGTTAAAGTTCTTTCTCCTATAATTCCTGTTTCAGTCGGAAAAAGCCTGCACTATTTTAGTTTAATGTCTGTCCTTCAAGTTTCTATTATGACCTTAGGGGTCCATAATTTGAGCAAGGGGTCCATAATTTGACCAAGGACACTAATGTGGCCAGTTCAGACTGAGAAACGCTTTTTAGGTTGCTCGCTCATGTAATAGTTTCTTTTTATTCGACATTAGAATAAGTAGACTGAAAGCAAAAATAATGGTCCATGACTGACAACTTTTTTGAACAACTTATAATTAAACATATAGATTTGAGAAAATTCTATTGTGATCTATGAGGTGAAATAAGATATAAAAATATTCTTCCAACAATTGATTTATTATCTTAATAGGTTTTTAGGTTTTTTAGAGGTTTTTTTTTTTTCAGGGTTTAGCTATTTTTATTTTGTATCACCAACTTATAAGAATTTTGTTATGACTATTTAAATCTCAGATAATTTATTCTTATAATTAGTTAATATTTGTTGTCTCATTAAAAAAAACTCTGGATAATAATAATACTAATTCAAGCAATCAAGAACAATTTATTTAAAGGAACAAATACAATCTTTTTGTCTAAGGAATAAAATTATAAATTCAAACATACTTCCAAATAAAATGGCACGACAATGAAAATAGGCAAAAATAAAATATGCCAATAACAGAGAGAAATAACTGAAAGCTATGCATTATCCAATATATCATCTTAACAAATGATGTTAGTTTTATTTCCCATAAAAATTTGTACTTATTATTTTATTATGAGGGAGAAAATTAGGTTAGAAGTCCTCTAGTTTTCTTCTGTTTTCGTATTAGGGTTTGTGAGTGGTAAAAGGAAAGAAATAAATTGGAATAATTTGTGGACTGGGTGTAACTCAGTTTTTATAAGATTGAAGTATTTCACAAACCTTATCGAATGAAGTTTCTCTCCTTTCCTATAGGTTTCTGGAGTCAACTTTAGAAATTATTGCAATATTTAGTAATTCTCTTAAAAGAATACTATTGTTTCCAAAAAAGCATATCACTTTATCAATTAATCCTTTCTGATTTTTGCTGTGTAATGTGTTCACAGAGGTAACTAACTTGCTTTTTACCTGTCTTAAATGAAACACAAAAAACACCTTTTAGAAAGAACTATATTAAAACACTGTTCTGCTTATTATGGACAAATAGCAAGAAATTAATAATTAGATTTAAAAAACTCTTGTCATGAGAATATTTTGTTCTGTTAACTAGCATTAACTACCTTGAGGCTTTATAACGACAAAGATGGCAAAGATTTCTTTCCTTAAAAAAAAAACAACAATTTTGTAAGACTGATTACAGATGCTAAACCTTCCCCTGCGATTCTATACACTTGGTCTCACTAAGTCTTCCTTTTAGGTTTATAAACTCTTGTGGTGTCAGGCCCATTTAGGAACTTGACTCCATCGCCAAAGGCTTAGAAAGCTAACAGTGTGTGAGGACATGCATAAGGCTGACTCGGGTCTGCAAACTCGTTGAGGAATAAACACCAGAGGGAAAGCAAGAAGAGAAAATAAGGGAGACCATACCCAAATTGTTCCCACCACGCTCAGGACTAGGCAGAAGATTCTCATGGAAAACATCTTCTCTGAGGGTGTGGCTGGCTCACGTGGAACAGTCTAGCTGCAAGAAAGGAGTTTCATCTCCACTCTCAGCTTCCACGCCATTTAAATCTGCAGGAGATTTGATTAATCATTATCTTTGTCCTGTTTAGACAGTCAACATGCACTCTACATTACTTGTTCCTTCTCCAAGGTTGGTGTCCTGGAAGTTCTTGCTTAATCCACCCCTACACACTTGTTTGCTTCCAATAAACTTTTGCAAAGGGAGCAGCAGTTCGGGGAAGATCCTACATTCCAGGAACAAGGTGACTTTGGAAATCCAAAGGCGAACGCAGGAGGATGTATCCTGACTTGAGTACTTGCGGGAATATGGAGAGTGGCTGAGGCAGGCTAGCTGTATCCCACTGTGAAGCAGAGAGTTGACAAATGATATTTCATTTTATGTAAGAATTATGATTGAATAATCTGATTTTTGAAAAATGACTTTTAAAAAAAGCTTACTTTGAACAGATTATGTTCCTCTTCTAAAACGGTTAAGACAGTAGCCCCTGGATCCAAACAACATCCTAGGTTCATAATCCCAGTTGTACCATTTCCCAGTTCTTGGCTTTGGGATGCATTACTTTATCTCCTCAAATTCTTCATTTTTAAAATTTAGGGGATTATGATAACCTACCACATATGGTTTTGTGAGGAATAAATGAATCAATCTTTGTAGAGTCCTCGAAGCAGTGATTGCCACAAAGTCCAGTACTCAGTAAGTGTTCACAATCATTGGAGAACACAAAGTGCCATTGAAAACACCATTTCTCTCCTGTTTTCATGCCTTTGGACCTGCTAATTTATTTTCCTCACTCTTTATTGCCATATCAAAAGTTTCCTTGGCTAAGAATGACCAGATTTAGCAAATAAAAAACCAGGATGCCCATTTAAATTTGAATTTTAGATAAACAACAAATACATTTTAGTATAAATATGTCCCATGCAATATTTGGGACATATTTATACAAAAAAAAGACTTTTTTTTTGTTTACCTGAAATGCATATAAAGGCATCCCATAATTTGTCTGGCAATCTTACCTTGCCTCCAGTTCTGCTTCCTGTATGAAGCCAATTCTGATCATAGTATTAGTTAATATTTATTGAGTGTTTACTAAGTGCTAGGCACTTTGTTAGACACCTTACATAGTAACTGACTTCATCATTCCATATAAAAACAATCTCTTCTTCCATACTTCTGTACACCATATACTATTCTTGGCATTTAGCATTGTATGAGGGTTGTCCATCTCCTCCACTAGATCATAAACTTGAGAATTGACATATTTTATTGGCATATATTCTCCCCCAAAGTTGTGGGCCCTCATTGAGCAAAAGTATAAGTGCCTTCCACTGTTGTGAAGCTGATTTGCTGCCTCCGTAGGCTGCATAGGCATGTGAAGCTTGCTATAAATGGATGAAAGCCCTACAACAAGGCTTTCCTTGTCTCCTCCTTCACTGCTTGATGTGTGGAAGGTTCTTTGCCTGATCAAGCTCACTCTTGATGTGCTTTTCTTGGATAGCTAGAATCAACTGCAGAGTTCAGAGGGAGCCCTAGAGCTCCATCCAAGTTTGGGTGGGCAATGATTCTGTGGAAAGCTGGAGCACACTTGTCTACGGTGGCTGAAGTGGCAAAATGTCTGACAGGAAAAGGAGTTCCAGGCTTGACTTCCTCGGGTGTTTTCCTCTGCCCACAAGAAGTGCCGTTCTTGAGAAGTGAATATGAAAGCAGTTCCCAGAGAGTAACGTGGTGGGCTTAAAGTGATTTTGTTGGACATAATCTGATTAAAAGTAAGTTAACAGAAGACAGTTGGACTGAATGCCACCATTCTGGTGTCACGTCAGGGCATTTCCGAGGTACCACCCGAGGGCCTCATCTTTATCGTTCCATGGTTCCCTCACATACCAGTACTTTGCACTCCGGTTCTTCATTCAGGGCTCTGCTCTGGTGTCATCTCTTTGCAGAGGCCTTCTCTGACCACTCTACCATAAGAGCAGCCACCCTCAGGTGTTATTCCATTAATCCAGTTTTGTTTCTCTTCACAGTACTTTATCACTGCTGGATAATATATATTTGGGAAGTTTTTTGTTTATTTCATGTCTTCCCCACACGAAGCTTCATGAAGCCAATGCACACTGTTTAGTCCAATGCCAGACTAAGAGCAAGTACTAATGAGTGTTTGTGGGAGGAAAGAAAGGCAGCACAGTATGGCAGAAGGATAATGCACTTTGCAGAGAGAGAGAGAGAGATCTGCATTCTAGCTAAGTGACATGGACAAACTAATTCTCTGAACCAGTTTACTTATCTATAAAAGGGAGATGACAATATTTATTTTGTAAGGTTGTTGTGAGGGTTATATAAAATGGTAGATGTAACATGCTGGATATACACATTACAAGCCTCAGAAATGGTAGTTTTTATTGTTCCTAGAATGTCTGTCTCAATGCCCCAAGGTAGAAAGTTCCCATGTCATCTCTCCAGTGCCAGAATTCTCTAACTGGGCACTTTTGTAGGGCACTCTTTTGGCCTGGCACTGCTCTGAGTGACAGGCTGAGCTCTCCACCCCCTGAACAAGCCCAATTAACAGCTAAGGGGAATTGAGTTTTGTTTAGACAGAAAGCCATGTAGATGAACAGGCAACAAATAATACAAGGGGCATTGTCTATTTTTTTAAAAAGCACATGACAATAAGGATATCTTTACAAGTGTAAAAATGGAAAAAGTTTTGGGAAATTTCCAGTTTCTTAACTGCAACCACCGCATTTTTCTCAGAGATGACTATATCTTATTTTCCTTATCTCTAATGAGAAGGATATTTTATTTATTCATCCTTTTGAAATTAATGTAATATTCCACAAATTATAAGTATTTAGATGCAGGGATTCACACACTTGTTATGCCATCACATCTGGCAGGACTGGAATAGTTTTTATTTGTGTGGTATATAATGTGTGTAGAAAGAATAGAAATTCTATAGCTGTAGGTATGTTTTAGTTCAAAACTGTATCTACACGTTAAAACTCCAGTATAAGATTCTGCAACAGAAAAAATGACAGTGTAAACAATAATGAAGTCTGAATAGAGTGTGAGAGTTAGAAAATAGTAACTATTAGAGTTGGTTTCTTAGTTTTGACAAATGAACTGTAAGATACTAAATTAGAGGAAACTGTGTGATTGACATAGGGAAGTCTCTGTGATATCTTTAAAACTTTTTTGTAAGTAAGAAAAGTATTCCGAAATGGAAAGGTAATTAAAATATAAATGCAAAAAAAAAATTAACATTTTAAAATTATATTTCTAAACTTGACTGTCATTCAATTCAAATATCATGTAGATATACCAATCTTAACAGAAAAAAAAACCAGTTCAATTTTGTTTTTGTTTTCTTTTCATGTCTGGAGCAATTTCATATGTGATCTTATTTGACCCTTGCCACAGCTTTATGATGTAAGGAGAACAAATTAGGATGGAAAACATTTCCTGCTCAAGGTCTCTTAAATGTTAAGTTTTATATATATA